TAATTATATAATAATACTAAAATATTTTTAAATTTTACATAAATTATAAACATACACTACAAGAAAAAATCATTTTTGTAACAAAATTTTTTTTATCTCTAAATCTACTTTTTCCGTTACTAATGACATTAGAGACGGAAATAGGAATAGAATTACGTTAGCTACGTGAACTTTATGAACGAAATTCCGTTACAAATATATTATTCTTTTGTAGTAATACTATTATACAATTAATTACTTTATACATAAATTTAAATAACAAAAATATCAAAATCTCCTACACACTTCTACTAACTAATAAAATACTATTATTTCTTAATTTACTACAAAACTCTAAAGACGTACATTCGAGTGGGACGAAGGAAGTATTCGATTTGGTTTGGTTTGGTTTGGATTATTTACAAATATTTTTATTTTATTGAAATTTTAATTATTTTCTAATGTATTTTTAAATTTAGTTAGGTTCGAATTATTTGTAAATATTGAAAATATTTTTTATTAACCGAAATTTTCGATTCAAATTTAGTTCACGATTTCACATATTTTTCCGAACGTGCTCACCCCCTACAACTAAGGGAGCTTTAGTAATACCAACAATCTATATCACAACTCTTTTGTGAAAGCATTAATTAAATTGTTGACTATTGCTAATCAACACCTAATCAATATATGAAATTGATAGTGTAAATATATATTAAGATAATATAAATATAATATATGAAATAATATTGTATAATATAATAATAGTCCGCAAAATATATACTTAAATTGATTTTAACACAATATATAATAACAATTGATTTTAACACACAATATATAATAACAATTCAGACATCATATTCACTCATTCAAATATGTGTTATCAATGATAAAAAACTTCTATTATCTTATATGTTCAGGCTAAACAAGCAAACAAATACAAAAGAGAAGAAAATTCCTAGTATATTTTCTTCATCACGGGCGATAGGTGATTTCTCCACAAATAGCCTAAGTAGCTTTTTCTTTTTCTGACATTCTTTTTTGGTGGTATTATGACATTCCGGACCGCAAGACATGCAAAGCCAAGTATGTCGGGATCATACTGGCCCTATAGGTCACCACTAGTCATTCAAGTGTGTTTCTGCCTTCACTTACGCACACCGTGGAATATTTTCCAAAATGTCACCCATCTAGGGCAAGCACGTTTAATTCTAAGAGTTCTTTCAGTAGGGTTTTTGAAAAAAAAATGTGCATATTGTTGACATGAGTAGTCTATTCAATCCATTTAACTTCTAATAAATTTCGGATGGCCTAATTCCGGCTCATCCACACACAGGAGTTGACCAAGCAATGGCCCAACTCCGGTGTTATTACATCATCCCCCACTTAAGAATGCAACATCCATGTTGAACCCTAAGGATCCATCAACTGCTAGGCCCATCAACACTACCCTAAGGATCCATCAACTGCTAGGCCTGTCAACACTTCGGTCTACTCTGATACCAACAGTGACATCCCAGCCCGCAAGCTATGCAAAAACGAGCATATCTCTTTTGTCCTCACACGCGCACCCTGAGAAGCTTAACTCTAGAGTTATTTCAATAGGGCTTCCGAAACGAAATGTGCATATTATTTACATCAGTAATCTATTCAATTAATTTATCCTCTAATCAACTTCGGATGGCCTAATACCGGTTCATCCACACACAGGAGTTGACCAAGCAACGACCCAACTCCAGGGGTATTACATCCTCCTCCACTTAAGAATTCAACGTCAACGTTGCACCCCAATGATCCATCAACTGCTTGGCCAGTCAACAATTCGATCAATGACTGTAGGCTGTCGCATGTCGGCTCTGATATCAACTGTGACATTCCAGCCCGCAAGCCAAGCAAAGCCGAGCATGTCGGGATCATAGATTACCCCCACAGGTCAATATTGACTATTTCCAGCGCTCTTTGTTCTCACTCAAGCTCACCCTAGAAAACTTCCCAGAAGGTCACTCATCTTCAAATTACTTTAGTGTAAGCATGCTTAACTCTAGAATTTTTTCAATAGAACTTCTGAAAAGAATGTGCACATTGTTGACATGAGTAATCTATTCAATCCATTTAACCTCTAATCAACTTTAGATGACCAAATACCAGCTCATCCACACACAAGACTTAACCAAACAACGGCCCAACTGGGGTATTATAGGTATAGACTTATCATTCTCCTCGTTCGTTGTTGTCCTCCAGGTAAGTTATGGATTTATTTTTTCACCGGAAACTATCGAAGTCCACCGAAAAAATAGTCCGTAAGAAGCAAAATTATTGCAATGGGTTGGACAATGTTTGTTTATTGTGGGGAGTGAAGTGTTTTGGTGAAATAGAATAGGCAGAAGAAGAAAATTTGGAGCTGATGGTACCACTACTACACCAACCACTCTCAAGAAATTTTCGATAATATTTTCTTAAAAAATATCTTGTTCTATGTTTTTTTTATTTTAATTTTTTGACCTTTGACAAAAAGGCCTCGCTTTTGACTGGGAAGCCATGAGCAACCGCAATGGCCACATTTCAGAAGCCTTTCTCTCTGAGGCAGAGGCTTTTTGGTTCAGCTTCTAAAATTTAGCGCACAATGGCTTGAAATTTCAAGCCAAAATATCGATTCACCGGAAATGAAGCCTGGTGCAGGCAAAGCCTTATTGAAGTCATTGCTCTCTCTCTTTTTCTTTTTCTTTTTTCCTCTCGCTCACCCATGTTCTTCAAACACAAATGCACAAGAAGAAAAAATAATTTTTTGCAGCCAAGACGAGTGATTTCTGGCTGCCGGAGCTGCGATGTGGGAAATATTTTTGGGATTTTAAGTTTATTATTGATTTTTGTACTTGATTTGTTAAATCTGGTGTTTGTGTGTTCAATTCTTCTCAGAATAATTCTTGTATGAGGATTTCGAAGAGTTGGACATTGTCCGCGCAACAGAAGGCATCGCTCCGCCGGTGGTGGTGTTGGTGGCTCCCGTGAGCTCAAACGGCCGGCCAACTTATAATGTCAGTGTTTTGGTGGACGACGCTTTGAAGGAGATAAATGAGAATTCTCCATCGTCGTCATCGTCTGCTATGACCGAGATAGAATCGAAGCCGTCTGTTGGTGGTGGTGTGGAGGATTTCTACGGCGAGGAGTATGAAAATAAAATAAACTTTATTGAGTGGGAAAATGGGCATTTGAGTCGCTGAACATTTTTTATCCTATTCTACCTCCATTTGAAATGTTAATTTGGATAGATTTTTTTATTTTTTTTTTGCCTTGGCTAATGAGGTAAGTAAATCACTGTGCCTTCTCTAACCCGAAAGTTTTGCGAAATATGTGTATATAATTCTTTCTTTCTTCCTTTTATAGATTATACTTACTTTGTTTCAACTTAAAATAAATATATTTTACATTTTCTTCTTATCTCAGTCAAAAGTATTTTTTTTCTGTTATAATATAAGTAAACACACCCTAATATAAAAATATTTTTAATGTTTACATATATTATAAATATACCACTCTACATACAATTCATTTACCAAAGCGCACTCAACGAATAGCGGCGGTACGTTCCCATGTTATCAAAAGATAATATACATAAAATACATATGAAAAAACATTAAAATAATTTTGTATACTTTCACTAACCAATAAAATACTTTCATTAACCAATAAATATTACTCCCTCCTTCGAATAGAGTTGTAAATGAGCCAAACTGAGCTGAGCTTGTCATATTTGAGTTCGGCTCGTTAAAGGCTTGAGCTCGGCTCATGTTCGTTTATTAAGAGATACAAATTGAAATTTTTGTTTGAGTTCAGCTTGTTTAGCAATTTTTCTTATCCGTGTTTGGCTCGTTAAGAGAATTTTTAATTATATTTATATTTTTTTAAAATAATAAATTAAATATATTGTATTTATAAAATTATATTCACGATTAGATATACAATTACTAATTGAATTTTTTAATAAATACGTTTGTAAACAAGATCGAGCTCGTTTGTAAACATAACCAGCTAAAATTTATGTTTGTATTCGGCTCATTTAACTTAACAAGCTCAAACGAGCCGAATCAAACTAAATTCGCAAACTGTTTGTTTGTTTTACAGCTCTAACTTCAAATGAGCCATTTAGAATTTTATAATAGACTAAAAAAATAATATTTTTTTTTTATTAATTAATGGAATTATGTAAAAAAATTTGATATTTTTGCCCTTTGACTTTTTATGTATAAAATAATTGTATGTGTAATGGTATTCTTGTCATTTAGGTAAAAGTTAAAAGGGTATTTTTAGTATTAATATATGATTACTTTTATTACAATAGAAAAATGATGCTTTGAAAACAAAATGATAAAAAAAAATACTTTGAGTATGAAGTAATATTTTTTAATCTATTCATACAAATTTTTCAAAAAATATCAAATCAAATATTTGTTATTCATTTTTTAAATTACAGTTAAAAAAATTATATTAAAAAAATTATATCAATAATTATTTATATCACATTATACATTATTTAAATTTAAATTTTTACAATTCAAATCTCAACTCAAAATTTAAACTCCAAACAAACACACCCACAAAATTAAACTCAAGTATTTTAAAGCTCAAAACATCAATCACATAACTGTGCAAGTAAGAAGTAAATATTTGCTTTTAGCATGGGTATTAAGAAATATTGTACTTTAATAATAGTTGATGATAGTTTTTTATATACTGACATATTTATCCTTGTGTATTAATTTCTCTTTCTTCATCCACTAAATAAATTGTAGAACATAATTAAAGCTCTATATCAACCATTAAAATAAACTATTTATTAAACACATGCAATATACAAAAATTAAAAATAGACACTTTAATTATACATTGGTTTTGCGAAATAATTCCGTGACATTAAACCGCTACAAATAAAATTTTTAAATTACAAACAAATTAAACCACAAACCAAACTGTAACTACATTTCGTAAGTGATCCATTACAAAGTCAGTGGTTGAAAAGAAAATCACCCGAAATCAACCACCAAAAACAGTTTGCAGTGAGAAGGAGAAATCTGTAAACATTGTTATTAATTACGATAACGTAAAAATCAATAGGCATCGCGATTAATCAGTGGGTTGGGAGGATGAAATTTGTAATACTTAAACATAAAATAGAATAACTGAAATTAAAAAATTTTGCAAGTAATTGTAAAACTCTGCATGAAACAACAAGAATACATATCAGATTAAATTTTCCTCCAAAAATCTAAGACAATCATAACCAAGTCACATCATTTTTCTCCCTCTAATAAAAATACAATTTACATCTACAATGAAAGCTCAAGAACAATTGCGATCAGGTCAGACTACTTCTTTGTGTAGTAAGAAAAGAGTCCAATGTCATGTTAAAAAGAAGTCATTTGATAAAACCACTTTGCAAAACATTCTCGTACACAAAAGAGGGACTTATAGAAACATAGCAAAAGAAATGCATATAAGTAAGAGTACCGTCGGGTACTGGGCAAAGGCGGGACTGATCAGGCCACACACCAATGCTATCAAACCTTCTTTAAGTGAGAAGAACAAGATAAAGATGTTAGAGTTTAGCCTCAAATAATTGGAGATTAATAATGACTTGAAAGTAGCCAAGTTTAGAAACATGTCACAAATTGTGTATAGATGAGAAATGGTTCAATCTCACAAAGGAGACTTACAGTTACAACCTAGCACCGGATCCATCACTAAGAAAGTCACCAAAGAGCTTCTAATAAATAAGATATGTTACTGCACCTAGTATTAATGTGACTCAACTTCCTTAGCCCTCAGAAACATATCATCATCGGTTAATGATCACCTGTATAAGTCTCCTATATAAGAATTACAAAAATAATCCTCATCGATGATGTTATTATAGGTGATCCCAACAATAAAGGAAAAATGGTCTATCGATAGGGATAAGAACATTACCATTCAACAAGATAACGGAAATCCTCACATCAACAACGATGATCCCGATTTCAGGCTAGCAGCAAACAGTGTCGGATTCAACATAAGTTTGGTGTTTCAACCACCATGATTTGTATCACATAATGTATTTTTTGTTTGATGGACAATATATAAGTATGCAAAACCAATGTTTGTCATCATAGAGTGTTGTCAACTCACTCTCAAAAATATATTTAAACTACTCTCTTCGATAATAATCTTCATCGAGTAGGGGCAGAGTGTGCAAATGTTTGAATGCACATGCGATTGCGTTACTTATTTAGTAAGCCTCCATGAACAATATGCATTACTCACACACTAAAAGAAGTAACAGCGCACTCTAGAATTATAATCATCATCGAGTGAGTTATGTGTGTATCAATTTTAATGCACATATGCATTACACAAACATAAAAAAGAAAAAAACCTAGATTACATAGCAAAAACTGCTTAGAAATTTCTTATTTTAACCCGCAAAATGCAAATTGCCCCGTAAAATTCTAATAAAATAAAGCAACATAATGTATACTTTAGAAAACTCAGGCAATGGCATGGCAATAGGACAATAAATCCTCAAGAACTCAAGGACCACTTCACGGACAACAACAGAGTTACCTCCGGAAAGAGAGTCTCCACCATCCCTTTTAGGGCTTATGCCCACCGGAGCAACAGAGATATACTCATCATCTGAATCCGGCACAACCATCCCGTAAAAAATATTAGGAGATTCCGGCACCTCAGACAATAGTAAATACGAAGCTATAAAAAGAAATGGTTTACAAAAAGTTAATCATAGATAAAAATATAAGAAAAAAATAGGTTCGCTTTTGAAATCACCAGAGTTAGGCGAACTTACCGTTGAAGGTCTCGAAAGTCTTCGGAACCATGGATTTGTAAAGATCAAAACCTATATCATCTAAATCAGGCACAAACTCACCCTCGAAGGTCATAGAGATCTCCGAAACAATGGATCTATAAAGATCTGAATCAGACAATGATAGGTAACTTCCAAACACAAATCCGGAGCTGTAAAGGGCATAACAATACTAAGAATTTCACCACCGTGCTTAGCTCCAGCACATTGACACCGTTATTGGCCATTGAGACTCGACGGTGAAGGAAGAACAAACAATGAAGAGATCTAATAAGGGTGTGTTTGTTTGGGGGTTTGGATTTTGGATTGGGATTTGAATAGTAAAAATTTTGAATTTGAATAGTTATATGATGTGATATAAATAGGGTTTGATGTGATGTTTTGAATGTAAAATTGATTTTTAGTATAATATAAAAAATGAAAAATGGGTGTTTGATGTGATGTTTTTGGGGGGAAAAAATTGGATGAATAGTAGAAATCCTTCAAAATCCTTCAAACAAACACACCCTAAGAAGAAAAACCCTAGGAGTGTCGAAAAGAGAGAAGATGAATCGAGAAAAAAATTGGGTGAGTTCGTTTTATTTGAGTTTAATTTTGTGTGTAATTTGATTTAATTTTGTGTGTAAATTTATTTGTAAATGATTAATGATTTAATTAATGTGTAATTTTTGTGTATTAAGTTAAATAATGTATAAAATTTATGTAGGTGATGTAAATTTGTATTGATACAGGCGTGAGCATAAACTATAATTACTATATAAGGAAATATGTACTTTGTGTCCGGATTAAAATATTTATTTGTCACTTGATGGATGAAGTAGTATTTTCTTGAAAATTGTAAAAATCATTTTTGTCCTGTGTTAATATATATAATTAATTACTTTTCGCATAAAATTTTTAAAAATAGCAATATTTTAATTATAACTAATAGATAAAAATAGTATAATTTTTTTAATATGAAAATGATAATATAATGATAAAAATATAATAAAATAAAGATATTTGTATTGAATAATGATATCACAATTACTAAAACTAATACGCTAATTCAGGATATAAGTTAACTTAGAAAGAAAAAAAAGACTATAATAACGAAAAAAAATATAATTCAAAAATTATTAATTTAAACATGTTGAAAGAGAAGTTTTTATCAAATTTGACCGGCACCGGAGCAGCCCCGCTTCAGGAAAGTGTTATATATAACATCAGATTATATCACTCTAATAATCAATATCCCCTAATCAGCCATAAAAGTAACAAATAGACATCAATCCCCTAATCAGCCATAAAAGTAACAAATAGACATCAATCCCATAAGCCAATGTATAATTCCATATTTTAAATCCAATACACTACTACACATAAACCACAAACACCAGCAGCAACATATCAAAATCTTGCTAATTCTTAAACCACCAAGCAGAGGAGAGGAGAGGAGAGGAGAGGCTTTCTTAAAATAAGAAAAACACACATTGAGGAAGACTAAGTACAACTACAACTAACTAACCGCATTGAATCCCATCCAAACTTCAAACTTCAAACTTACTACTTACTTAGCCTCCTCGGAAGTCTAGTCTAGTCTAGTCTTTGTGTAGAACAAAACACAAACACAAAACAAAAGAGAGAGAGAGAGACTAATTTAATCATAAACTCGAAAACATATAATTAATGATAGTTAAAACATCTTGATGGTATTCAGGTCGAGTTAGAAATCATTCATAAACTCATTGATGCAAGCTCAAAAGGCATCAACTGATTGATTATACATAACACTCCCTTCCTATACCTGCCATGCCATAGGATAGGATGCTTGTCCGTCAATGAGCAAACACTGTGTCGTTACGCCTGGGTGGTCTATCAGGAATCGACCCCGGCTTAAACTTAGACGCCTCGTGCCTCGCAAGCTCAGGAGGAACAGGGCTGTTGCTTTGAAGAAGCATTTGCTTCAGATCATAGAAAACTTCTGTATCATGCAGAGTCAGGAATGTCGTTGCCACACCAGTCTTCCCAGCACGACCTGTTCTTCCAATACGGTGAGTGTAAGCTTCAATATTTCCGGGCATATCATAGTTTATGACATGGGCCACATCCGGTATATCGATACCACGTCCAGCTACATCAGTAGCAACCAAAACATTATATCTTTTGGTCCTAAATCCTTCGAGGCTTATTTCTCTCTGTTCTTGGGACTTGCCACCATGCAATGTGGTCACCCGATATCCCTCCTTGTCCAATGTTTTAGCAACGTTGTCCGCAACCTTCTTTGTGTTCACAAACACGATGGCCGTCTTATCTCCAAGATCATCAAGCAATCTTTTCAATCTGTCCATCTTGTCGTTCTCCTTCATCATCATGACATGTTGGGTGATGAGGTCAGTCGCCTTCCCAGCGGTACCAATGTTGACTACAACAGGATTTCTCAAGTACTTGCGAGCGAGCCGCTCTACCGCAGGCGGCATCGTAGCGCTGAACATATAAGTGGTTCGGTAAATCCTTTTCTCATCAAGCTCTTCGTCTTCGTTCTCGGGTTTCAAGTTACTCGAAGGCATGGCATCCAATACGCCTACTACTTGCGGTTCAAAACCCATGTCAATCATACGATCAGCCTCATCAAGAACAACATAATTGCACTGGTTCAGAACTGCATACCGCCTTTCCAAACAATCAAGAAGACGTCCGGGAGTGGCTATCACAACCTCACATCCCTGCCTAATCCTAAACCCCTGCTCCTCTATCGATTGACCACCCACAATCGAAACCACTTTTATCCCCAAATAATGTGCAAATTTTACAGTCTCGTCCTCAATCTGCTGAGCCAATTCTCTCGTCGGCGCCATCACAACAGCATAAGGTCCCTCCGCTTCATTCTCCTCGCTGATGGGTGGAAGTCTAGTGATATACGTCAACATAGGCAGAACAAAAGCAGCCGTCTTCCCTGAACCTGTCTCAGCAATGCCGATCACATCACGCTGCTGCAGGCCAAGCGGAATGGCAGCCATTTGAATGGGAGATGGAGTCTTGTATCCTGCCCTTTCCACCGCTTTCAGCAACTCCGGACTCAACTTGCTCTCCGTCCAGCCCCTCATAGGCCGAGGAATCCTCGAACCCTTGTAGGAAATGTTGAAATCTTCCCGGAAAATTCTCCAGTCTCTCTCGGTCATCTCCTCAAGCTTCTTATCAGACCAATGGCGATCCACCCTCATATCAAAGGTATCATACAAATCTGCAGCCAGTTCCTTCTTCTTCTGAGCAGCAGCTTCCTCACGAGTCTCCTCAACGCCTTCCTTCTTGCGAATCTCGTCCCTCAGCTCCTTCTCGTTCTTCGCTGCAAGCTTTTTCTGCTCCCTCCGGTCCATCCCGGCGCGGAAGCCACGGCCGAAGAGAGGTCGAGCTTCGTGAGGGTTTTGGTAGAGGGAATTCATGTCCCGAGAGGTGTCCTCCGTGTTCTCCCAATCGAACGAGAATCGGAACTTCTCACTAGGCTTAATTACCCTTTTCTTAGGTTTTTTCGAACCTAAGTACTGTTCCTTTATGGCAGCCAGTTCAATTTCACGCTCCCTCTCTGCTAATTTCTCCAGACGAGCACGCTCCCGTGCCTTCTGCTCATCATCGCGCTCTTTCTCACGGTTCCGACGCTCCGAATCGCGCTCGCGCTCGCGTTCCCGTTCGCGTTCTCTTTCCCGCTCGCGCTCCCTTTCTCGGTTCCGACGGTCACTGTCGCGGTCGCGGTCACGGTCGCGGTCGCGGTCTCTCTCTCGATCTCTGTCGCGGTCGCGATCTCTGTCGGCCGAGGATGCAGGCTTGGAATCATGGCCGCCGTTGTTGGCTTGGAGAAGAAGCTCGGCGCGGCGCCTCTGCTGGTCTACTTCTTCCTGGCGGCGTTGGAGAGCGAGCTTCTGACGCTCCTCCTTGGTGAGGAATACTGGCTTCTTAGGACCGTCGATCTTGTCGAGAACATCGTCGGAAGCCCTCTTCATTTGGGAATTAGGGTTTCGCCGGAATTTGAGATCGCTTGGGAGATTGCAGGAGGGGATGAAAGAAGGAGAACCCGTGCCCACCACGTCAACACGCATTTCATTTCATTCCGCAGATTCTAGAATCATCTTCTACGGCCCAATTACATCGGGCTGGATCGGCCCGGGCCCATTACTTAATTGAACTTACAAATTGTCATTTGATTGTTGTTGTTTTTTATTGAAATAATAGTTGAATATAATGCTTTATGTAAAAATTAATTCTTTTTAAATAATTAAAATGTATCAAAACAAAAAAAAAAAATGCATAGATAACCGTTTTAAAATAAAATTTGATTTTTATCCTTCATTTTTCCTTTAAAATAAATAGAAGGAACTAGAAACAATGGATTTGTTTATTTTGTAAAAAAATTTCTACACATTTTCCCTAAAGATAATATACTACACACTAGTTGTTTTCATTTTATTTGCACAATTTTTTATACTTTACACACACAAAAAAAAAATTATTTCAAACCAAAACACAAAATAAACACATTTATTTTTTATTTGAAAAATTTTCACTCAACATTTTTTAATAATACAAATTAGCAATGAATATTACCAAAAAAATCAATATACATATATATATATTCACATAATCTAAATAATAATATATTTTATTTACTCATAAAAAAAAATTAATTATATATTGACATAATTTTCATGTTTAATCTAAGTATAAGAAAGTAAAAACACCCTAAATTAATTATTTCTATTCAATTAAATAGTCACATTCAATAAAATATTATTGTTTTGTATTTTAACTAAAAATAATTTTTTAGATATAACAATTTTATAGAATTGTGATATTAAATTTAATAATGTTAAAGAAAAATAAGAGTGTTTTGTTTTGTGTATAATGGTGTTTATAAATTTTACTTTTTAGTAAATTAAGTGATAATGTATCAATGAAAAATAAATGGATAAATATATTCTAAATTAATAAATAGAAAAATAGGAAGAAAATACAAAAAATTATGGGTGTATTTTAATGATTTATCTACTTTTATTTTTTGTTTAAAAAATAAATTATATGTGATGTTAGTATGAAAGAATAATACAATATATTTTTATAAAGAATCTTGATATTAATATATAATAAATGTATTTTTTTTTTAAATCTTAAAATAAACAAAATTGAGTAAACCAAAATTCAAGTGAAGAACCGTGCATATTTTCTAAATTGATTAATCAACTGAGTTTTCTAGCGATTTTAAATATTTTTAGATAAAAAAAGTAAATGATAAATTTATAAAATAAAAATAATGTTATGTGTGTTTGTATAGTAATTCCGAAAAATTCATTAACATAAAAAAATATCTTTAACAGGTAAGTGTCAGGTCGAATTCAGAAAATATGTATATATTCTATATTTAATTAGAATAAGTGCAATGAGTTAATGCAATCGAAAGAGCCAAAATAATAGATTGAAAATTAAATTTAATTAAAGAAATGATAAAATATATGTATAACGAGAATGATGGAACAAGGTGTTTATGTCTGAACAGTACATTCCTAAGTGGTTAGATCACCTAAGAGGAAATGAGTGCAATGATGATAGTGTATCAGCGAATAATATATTAATAATTGCTATGCGATTTGGAGGAATGGGTGTGACCACACTTGCTCACTTAAGCTTGATTCTTTACTCTATTGGTACTTGATGAATTTACAACGAAGCTTCAGCGAACGTTTCTAGGATCCCGATAGACAAACCCATATGTCTAATTAATTATTACTTACATTGTTTTACTAATATCTTTACTATTTTTATATATATTTTTTTAATCGGTGTTATATCCAGCTCACAACTAAGCAGATCAACAATGGTCTCGCGCACTTAGATGTTACCAGTGGCGGAACCAAAATTATTCCGTTGAAGGACTTGGAGGCTTAAAAGAAATAGTATAAAAAATTTAATTTAAAACTAAAAAATAAAGTAATTAAAATATTTTTTTTTTTAAAAAAAAAAGACTAAATATTTATTAAAAAAAGATAGAAATTTACAAAAGAAATGACAAACAAAAGTTCTTATACAAATAAAAAATAAGAGAGGATTTTAGTACACTTATATAAAAACAAACTACTTTGATCACTACCGAATAGAGGACTCTATTCATAAAATGAATTGTCGTTAATAAAATATGGAATAATATCATCATCTTAAATATTAACTCATGATTGTACTCTTTTGTTCTTTACATTATCATTTTCATTCATATCTTTTGCTCTAAATATTTTCAATAATTGAATTGAAACATTTAGGAGCTTTAGAAAAAAAATATCTTAACAAAATATTTTGTTAAAATTATATTATTAATACTACAAATTAACTTCAATTAAATTAAAAGAATATACTATCACAATTAAATTAAATTAAGATACATGTAAATAACATCATTATCACAAACAGTGACGGAATCTGCATTCGATTTCTGGGGTGCAAGATACCGATGTACTTCTATCGATACGATATTGTTATTTTTTTATTTCTCTTAATACAATGGCGTGCCATCATCAAGATGAAGAAAGAAAAAAAATAAAGGGACATCATCAAGATGAAAAAAAAAAAAGAAAAAAGAAAAAAAAAACGAAGGGAAAGAAAAATTAAAAAAAAAAAGAAAAGAACAACATATATAAAATATTTAAGATGGGGGCATTTTAGCAAAACATATACATTTTTTTTCTATTTGAAATAATCGTATTTTTTTACACTGAAAATATTTGATTGAAGGTTTTAATATGGAAGATGAGTAGTGGCCCAACACAGGACAAGGGTAGCCCAATAATGCAAGCCTAGTTCGAGTGATGTAGTCAACAACTGAATATTGATCACCTTTGCAAGTGGATGAATAAAGAATGTAGAAAGAAATTGGTAACCATATCAAGTAATGGAAGAACAGAGAAGTGAGAAGTTAAGAAAAAAATGAAACACAAATATATAAATAAAGATAAAGGAAAGAGAAGAGGAGAACGTCCAGAAGAACACACCAAATTCCAGCTTCTTTCATTATTTTTTCTTTGTTTTTTTTTTTTTTTTTTTTTATTTTTGCTTTTCTTGACAACATTGCTTTAATTTCATATTGTTGTTCCTACAATTCAGCCTCCTAATTTTCAATTCAAATTAAATCAAGTTTCAGAGTTGTTTTACATAATATTCCATCTGTTCAATCTAATTTTTATTTGTTTTTATCATGTTAGTTCGGTTCCAAAGTTGTTTATTGTAATAGCTTCCATCTTGGATTTGTTGCATTATGATTTTTCACCACGAGTCAAGCCCGGATACTTTCTTGAGGAGCTTGGGAAATCCTTTTTGTATTGATACCAACAGGCCTAAACGGAGTTGGCCATCAACGTCAATGTTTAACGACAACATATTTGTAACTCTTGCGCATACATGCAATTGATTAATGACAAATTACTTTCACCAAGAAGTTCCACCATGTTAAAAAATAAAGGGATCGTCGGAGAAACATCAGGGTAACCTGCTGCTGAAGAGCTGAGCGCAGCGAGTTATCCACAACGTCCGAACAAGAATATAGGTTGGTCACGTTGTAGACGAGTGTCCTTCATGACCAAATCCGGAGATAGATTCAAGCATCACTCCATGAATCGGCATTGCAACTTTTCCGATATCTTGCAAACATCCTGAAGCCCACCATTCACAATAAGATCACGTGGATGAAGGAAGAGGAAGCTCGTAAAGGGAACTCGACAATCATTAGCCCCAAACATCTTGGATTCGACTTCCCGTGAGGATGTCACAAGAAGCCACGGCGGATTCGTCATCCACCCCACTCTGATATAATCACGTGACCATATTAGGCAAGGATATCGGACATGAAACCTCCTTGCCCGAAGCCACAAAGGTGGAAGAATCTGGGAAAGCCCCTCTAGAGCCACCTCCAATCTCCAGAGTTGCAAAAAACTCAAGAGATGCTCTGTTTTCATCACAATGGTATACAAACTCATTGTTCAATTGAGTAACTCCTCACATGCCTCTTACCAAATTTCATACCAAAGAGAGCATGGTAGCGGCACAGGGATCTCCCGACGCATGAAGGGCATGACCTTACCAATTTACTCCAGAAAAACAAAGAATCAGTGGAAAAATTCTTCAAAATCTTTTAGAGAGCCGAGGGTCGCTGCCAAGTGGTGAACATGGCAATCGACAATATAAATCACTAGCTCCAGAAGAAATTAGCCCTTCGAGAATATCAGAAGTTTCAGCAGCTCACTTCTAAGGCTGTCAAGGCGGAACAACTCCTCAAAGACGGCAACAGTAAGGAGGAGGACCTAGATGATACGTTTATGGCTAAGATAACGCAAGGCAAAGCATACACTTTCCTAGCTCCGAAACCGCCTCGATGTGAATAGGCGTACTCGAAAGTGCAATACGCATTCGATATTGAAAAAAATAGAGCAAATATCTGATGATCATTTAAAGGATAATCAACTCCGGCTGAAAGATGGCCACAAGATGTTTTGCGGTGAGATGTTGAGCATAAAAACTTACTACAAGTGGCACAGCCTTTATGAGCACCAAGTGGACAGTTGTATCACCTTCAGAAACACAGTTCAAAAAGCCATCAAGGAGGGATGTCTTCGGATGGCTGAGAAACCATAGATGAAAGCCTTCTCCCATGATGTTTAACGATGTTGGAGTCCACCTTATCAGATCCAGTAGACAATCTAACAGCTCTGGAGTTAAATCCATGAATTCTATTCATACAAAAGGAGTGTTCGAGAGACTCGGAAAGTCCATCAAACCCCCATGTAAGAGTTCGGTGTGGGATCACCTCTCTTGCAATAACACAATGTCAGATGTTAATTTCAAGAAGGACGGAAGGATATGACAGATGACTTTGGTAGACCAAGTAGTTATCACTTCTCATTTTATATAGCGTCAAACAACCCTCTGAGGATGGAAATTGGACCAGCAATCGGAGGCCAAAGAAGACCAAGCCTCTCATTAGAATGCAAAGGTGGAGGAAACAACATCAACATCAGACAACCAGGTTCGATTGGGAGAAATT